TAGCTTCGTCTTTGACCAGGTTTGGGCCTTTCGGTTCATGCTTTTGTTTGTTCCGTGTGACTAAACACAACATTGCAACGTGGGTGTCCTTCATCAACTTTACGTGGATCACCCACGTACGCGTTTCCGTTACGTGGGAACTAAACCTCACTAATAACGTAAAGCAACTTGGAAGAATGGGTATGAATGTGAAGTGTATGGGGGAATGCATGTAGGGCGATAGTGCGGGTTCGAATCCCAGGATATGCCTGAAAAAAAGGAGAATTGAAAAATTTATAACATCCTATGCTTTTTTGCCGTCAGATACGGATAGCGCGAGGCGTGACACAAACAAACAAACACACAAACAAACACCAAATTAAAGCTGTGTGGACCCTGGCTAGCGCCAGACGTTCTGCATAGCTACGGGAATAATAATTATTATTATGGTGTTAGGGCCATTAAGGCCATGCCTAGAACGGACGACGGGAAGTGCGAGCATATGGCTAACTTTACCGCGTGTCTGCCGGTCAGTGTGGCTGGTGGCTGAGCCGTGAGTGAAAATCCCATGCAAAAGCGCACTAGCATCACCATGCAGGCAGTAGTAAACAAAAACAAACAATACGAAGTTTCAGAGGAGCAATATTAGCGATCGTCAAACAGTCGTTGGAAGATGTGTACGGAGACAAGCCAAAAACTCTGCGGATGGCCAGCGTGCTTGCTCGCAAAAGTCTCTGGTATAGCGTGGTGCTCAGACAATGAACATATTATGCTATGCTGGCATAGTCCAGGGTTGACTGTATCAGTGATAGCAAGAGTACATAACCCCCAAGAGTGTGCAACTGCCTGCACAACCTCTATGCTGTGCTGCGACGGCAGAACTTCACATCACGTGACATGGTTCAAAAGGTTATGCTGGCAAACAGTGCAAAGTGACCACAAGAGAGTTGTACCCAAAGCTGGGTTGCGTACAACCCTGTATCTATCATGCACAGGGTGCACATAATGTGTACGGGTTCATCACGTGATGTGAAGTTCTGCCGTCGCAGACCCCATAGCTGGAGTTGCACACTCTTGGGGGTTATGTACTCTTGGTGATAGATAGAACATACGACGACCTTCATGGTTTATGTTCTTGCCGTGTCTAAATGCACCAAGCTTCTGGTGTACCTTCTGCAGTACGCTCTCAATCTGCAGGTCGAAGGCTAGATGCATCGATGGTCGTCGATGATGACCCCCAGGTACTTTGCGCTTTGCGACATTGGGATTCTGTAAGGTCCACACTGAATGGCTAGCGTGGGTAGAATTACCTGCCCTTTCCTCCGAATCACGAAAAATTGCGTTTTCTTGGGATTGAGCAGAAGCCCTCTGTCGGTAGAATATGCTGTAGGCAGACTGAGACCCCAATAATATATTCAGAGATCCAAGTGATGAAACTATGATCAACTCAATTTCAATGGTTTACCTACAGTGCCGTGGACATGTACATACTGTACACGTACACCTTGTATACCTGTGGATAAAGCACAGTGTAACAACAAAATACAATAATAATATTATTATGTATCTGAGACACAACTTTCTTTGATTTTGTGGTGGCTTTTAAAAAAGCCGGTTGAATAGCTGGTTCCTTGAGCTGAGAGAATCCGGGTAGATGTCTAACCACGCTTTCCACGGATGCGACGACCCAGCTCCAAGTCTTTCAGTCTGGCGGCGAGTTGCTGCTGGCAGGGCACGCGGCGTTTAGCTCCCTTTTGATATTCGCGGCGTCGTATTAGCCGGAGAGCCTCGGGACCTGGGCGGTGGCGAAACTTCTTCCGGCGCCTTTTCTCGCCTCCAGCAGACCGAGAACAGGGAACAGTCTTCTTCACAGGCTCAGTGCCCCGGGGACACGCCTGTTGCCGTGCAAGTATCAGCTTGCGAACGTATTCTCTGAGGCTTCCCCGCCGCCTCCCGTAGACATGCTAGCGAACCGTCTCTGCTTGCGAGCCATTTTCAAAGAAGATAGAATATCTGATGCTGACTGACAAAATAAATAATGATGAACTGACGAGAGATATTCGCTTAGCTCTTATATACCTGGTTCGATTCCCCGGACCGCGCAAGCACATGATTGGTGGTGCCATTGTATGATTCATTTCCATTGACTTATCTCGAGTTGTCGGCATTAGAGAGGTGAAGTTACACATTTGGCTTTTTAAAGCACGTTGAAAATCTCACGCTACGTGTAAATTTGGGATTAGTTCGAACAGCAGGATTGTCTCAAAACACAAAAATCAATTCTTCCAACAAACCCGATCGAATTACGGATACTCACAAAAGTTCGAAATACTCACACAAATCCGAGCGGGATGACCAAACGCAACTTCCAAAAACCCAGGTCACGTAACTACGTACGGTGCAGTCAACTCGCGTAGAATACGTCAGATTGTACGTGAGTTTAAAAAAATTGACGTAAAAGTTCACTCGCCTCGCCTTTGTTAGCAACTGGTACGAATGTGAGTGTAGCCAATAATCCATGTCAGCTAGCGTTAGTACACACTGTGGTGGGGACTGACGACTAGAAACAGCAGGTCGACATGGTAGTATAACGGTTACTGCTTTGCTGTTCGCCCGACGCCATTGTGTTTGGTTGGGCGGGTCTTTCTGAGCTTGGCCGAGAAGACCTAGTATCCGTATGGTGGACAAGGCTAGCTGTCCCAAGATTGAGTGTATTTGTTTGTGATGACCAAAGCATTGTGATAACCATGGACTTGTTGTGGTGTTTCTTTACCTGCAGCTGCGGTGAGAAGCGGGATTCCCTTGATACTGTACAGTTCCTGAACATAGTCATAGGTATGTTGCGGTGATAACTGTTAGCAGTACATGTACTGTATTGTGGTACCGTACATGCGGTTGTGTTGTATTGTAGCACATGTTTACTGTACATATGAGCCCCTCTCTTCCCTGTTCCCCTGAATGCACCCACACCACTTGTGATACTATGGGGTCTCGGGTGGGGCGTTGCTCTTGCTATTGTCTGCAGGAGTAGACCAACCCCAGTAAGTTAATTAACACTTTCAGCAAGTACGCGTAGACCATTTTAGCACGAGTCAGTTATTGTGAACTTTGAAGTTCACATACCGAGGCGACATTCAGCATCTACGCCACCGCCGCCGTTGCATCAATGGGATTTCTGTTCACCATGGTTTGAGAATTGAGATGCCTTCCTGAGGACATCAGTGTCGCATCACTCTAGTGCTCTAAGTGCAGATGCTGGCTGCTCTCTCAGTTGCTTGTCAATGTCATCATCATCAACATCATATCTACATGTGTACATCTATCTGCACTGCTAGGGGCTGTAAGTCGCTGTGGCTATCATTCCAACGCCATTCTTCATCGCTTGAAGGCTACATGCACCTGCTCCAAGCTCTTGAGATTGACGAGTCTCAAAAGTGCTTGCTCGTACATGGCATACCGTCTAGTATAGTGATGTATGTGTGTTTGTGCGCGCACGCGCGTGTGCGTGTATGTGTGTATGCTTGCACACGTGTGTGTGTGTGTGTGTGTGTGTGTGTGTGTCCGTGCATGTGTGCGTGTGTTGCTTATTGACTCCCTGTGTGTGTGGTGCAGGTGAAACATGTCCATATCACCTGCTGGATGTCTTCCTGCAAATTTCCGTACCTCCAGCGTCACCGGAGTGCTTCAACTTTCTTCTGCCATTGCTTGTGTGAGTTGCATGCTGTGCTGCACTGCGCTGTGCTGCACTGCGCTGCGCTGTGCTGCACAGCACTGCACTGTGCTGTGCTGCACAGCACTGCACTGCACAGCGCTGCACTGTGCAGTGCTGTGCAGCACTGTGCTGTGCTGTGCTGTGCTGTGCTGCACTGTGCTGTGCTGTGCTGTGCTGTGCTGTGCCATACCATACTGTACTTGTAACATCTTCCTGATCGGGAATTACCCCCTAGTCGAAACGATGTCTACCAGTCTTCCGGGGCAGTCCTCTGTATTTCCTCAACTAACTCACCCCCCGGTTTGCTTAGACCCTAGCTAGGCATGAGTCCGGTGTAAACATCAGAAGGGGTTGGAAGGAGCACTGGTAGCGTGTACTGTTGGTGCCTGAGCTGTGTCTGTCGATCACGTGCAAAGCAAACCTGCAGTGAGAGACAGAGAGAGAGACACACACACATACATAGAGAGAGAGACAGAGGCTTGGGTTTGATTCTGGCCGACTTAGGTTGCCAATAGGGAGGTTTCGCATGACGTTTTTTTCAACTCAAGCTCAGGTTTGACAGGTTTCACGCAACAGGTGTGTACTTGGTTCAGTCGAGACGGGGAATTGAAAACTCTGTCAGTTCGGAAAACTTTCCTGTAAAACAAAAAATATATTCTGCAAAAATTCGTGTGAAACTCACGGTGGCTTTGAACACGAGCGGAGTGCGACTTGCATTCAAATTCGACGTTCAACGTCATTTCCGACGCCGAATTTCACGTCACACCAAAAATACATCGCGCGAAACCTCTCTGATGCCAATGGACCCTCTTCCAGTGGGTTGGAGCAAGTTTGGATAAGAAAATCTCTGACGCTCAGTACCAGTTGCTATTGCTCACGGGAGTGTATCCTATCACAGTTCCACTATAATTTGTATATACATGTTTTAATAATAATACGGTGTTTTTGAATGGTGCCTTTCTGTTCTGTAGGTGGGCATGTGACATGAGTCGTTCCGTGACTTCAGCCGCAAATTATGTCAAGTAAGTACATTATTTCTGCTGTTCCTGCTCATCTCTCTCCTGCCCCCCCCCCCCTCCTCTCTCTCTCTCTCTCTCTCTCTCTCTCTTGTTCTCTCTCTCTCTCTCTCTCTCTCTCTTGCTCTTCTCTCTCTCTCTCTCTCTCTCTCTCTCTCTCTCTCTCTCTCTCTCTCTCTCTCTTTCTTTCTCTCTTGCTCTCTCTCTCTCTCTCTCTCTCTCTCTCTCTCTCTCTCTCTCTCTCTCTCTCTCTCTCTCTCTCTCTCTCTCTCTCTCTCTCTCTCTCTCTCTCT